GAGGTCTATGACTTTATGTTGAAGCGCTTGGATCTTCTCGTCCGGGCCCTGACTATGGGAGAACGTGATCTAAGGGACGTTGTTAACTTCTGTGTTCATGACGCGCACCAGGGAGCTTTGGCGGCCTGCAGAGATAACCTTCCTGGAGTGCGAAATGGTAGCTTCGTTATATAGCAAAATGTCATACGTTAAATTCGGTGTTCTTTAATTCAGGTCGATGCTATTATCACTTGTCCAAAAATATCAAGGATAATAGGTCTAAGCTTGGCGACGCTTTCCCTCTTGTAATATTACTGAAATTCACTTCGGAGACCGATAGCATCAAGTGACCATAGCCATCCGGATCAGGTCGAACGTTACAAGTATTGGTTACATGCTAGTCCCACCGATAAACTCTACGAACTTCTATCGCGAAGCCTGATTGTGACTGTCCAGCGAATCAGCAGAAATGGTGCAAACTATCTACGGAGTTCGTTGGATCCCGAACGGCATGGCTATCCCAATATATCTGTTTGTAGAAAGGGACTTGAATGCACACAAGTAAGTACTTCTCTCGTATTTGGGATAATATTGTGAAGAGGAAGGTCCTGAACAATATTGTGGAAGCGTTCAACAAGACTATGTCAAAGATCGTGGGAAGAAAGAGACTGCGGATAAACGCATTCGCTACACGGATACAACAGGCACCATACTACTCGCCGGGATTGGATTGTGGAGCATACCATCAGGTTATCAATACCATAAAACGGTCAAGTCCTCAGCACTTCGTCAAGCGTCCAGCTGTCATCAACGAGACTCGCGGGTACGACCATGACAATAAGGTGCGAGGGATGAAACTGCACGAAAGGGGTCACGTTCGAGAGGTAGGTTGTGGCACATTTTTTGGCCGAGAGCACGCGCTGAGCGCGTCGCACTCGGTGACTTGGTTTTGGTAATGCTTACTCAGCAATGATCGGTCTTTAAACCTGCTGAGGTTCAATGTGGACTCTACGAGCCTGAGAGACTTGGTGTTTTAGGTCACGGATAAAGTCCTAGAACTTATAGATGGTCATGTTCAAGCTCGGTATTTCGTCGTAGAGAATCACCGGCTACCTCAGCGTCTGTGTGATGTTACCAGTGAAGAAGCAGTGACTACTTTTCTGCGAGCAATCTTCTTGGATGAGGTTATACGCAGTACGTCGAACTCACATCATGATCGGAGTAGAACCTGGGAACACACATGATAAACTATCTTGACAGGCGATGAACTATCTCTAGACGACGTGATGCAGCGCTACTACTGCTTCTATCTGGTGACCGTCCGAAACACCCCCGAGCCAGGAGTATTAGTGTCTGTGGAAGATAGCAAAAGCAGGGTTCTCTGCTCCTGTAAAGAATGTCGTGACTGGGGATTCTGCGCACATGGATACGCCGTAGAACTCATGCTTGAATCACAAGAGAGGTGAGATTCTTAGCGTGAGGAAGCCTCACGAAGGCCTGATGTTGAACAAATGTGATGAATCCTTCATTGTAAATTTGGACTCTGACAGATACGTACCTGAAAGACGACGTTTGCCAGGGGTCAGGCGAGGAAGACCTACTGAGAGACCAATTCCTGTTTTGTCACGGCATAACTCCGCAGTCTCGGCTCCAGGCAAGCTCGCGCTAGACTATGTTCAACTTTGACGTACTCATCAGACGCAACGACACCACTATCTAGGGACGATAATGTGGATAAGATGGATGATGAAACGGATGGTATTGAACTAGTACTGATTGGATTGGAGATTATCAGGCTCGCAACAACAGATGAGGCTTGTATTTTGTTGGGTGTCTTTCAGTCTGGAGTGAGACAGATGTCGCAAGCGAAAATGGATCTAATGATGAAGCGGATGATCTACCTCCCGACAGCTCTAGTTACACAGGTGAGTCCCTACTATGGGATTTGCATCACAATCTGTGAATTTGGATTCTTGGAATCAAATTGTTCGGAAGTGCTTTAACTTGAAGCGACGATTCGTTGGATGAAGTTTATATAGCTCATTTCAGGGTCAAGTAGTGACACTGGATCACGCGAAAACGATAGTGAAGTAGGGCGAACCAGTATTTTGGGTGACGAGAAGGTCAACAGCGAAGATTGGGATGATGGCGGGTATCCCTCTGATAACCGGTCATCGGCAGATGATGATAATGGCAACAATAGCGATGATTGGGATGATGATGAGGATCCCTCTGAGAAGTGCCCGTCGGAAAAGGATCATAATGACAATAATAGCGATGATTGGGATGACGAGGGGTATCCCTCTGATAATCGCTCATCGGTAAATGATAATAAAAGCATAAATAGCGATGACTGGGAGGATGATGGGAACCCTTGTGACAATATCCTTGGGAAAATGAGTAATAACTAACCGAAGTGTTGCATGAACTGTATGAGCGTTTATTCATTAGACAACAGCAGACATCAGCAAATACAAAGAAGAAAAGACAACGGAGCTCAAGAACCTTGAGTCACAATACCTAGTCAATGAAGCTGTAGATATACTTTTGTCATGTTTTCCGTTGTAGTCATAATTGATGTGGTTGAGTTCCGCGGAGCTGAAAGCGAAGATTTCATGCTAATCATGTCACGCGATTCGTACAAGATATATTCTTACACACGATTCGTGTGTAAGATAATATCTTTCAGGTACATACAACACGCACCACTAATCCAAACATATAAAAGTATATGTACACCTTTATTGGATTTAGGGGCTTAGCTTGGATCAGCGGATATTGTTTGGACTACAGAGTGTTGATTGGACTAAGGTAATTTCCCGACCTTGCAGACCATTGGCTTGGCGCCAATCAAATACGGGCCTTATCCTTGTTTTACGCCGTGCTTGGCTTGGATCAACTGCTTCGGACTCGGTGGGGATGGTGATCACTGGAAAGTGGACTGTGTAGTAGCATTGGTTGACCTCGGTGGAATCGAGTTGCACAATAAGACCTTCTTTCTGGTAGTTGTTGAAGACGTCGATGTAGTCTTGTTGTAGATGTCGTTCTACGTTCGTGTGGGACAGTTGGTCGACAACAGTAGACAAGTAGTTGATGGAGTCGAAGAGGCAGACTTCTTGAGCGGATGTATCTGAAACAGCAGAGGCAAAACGGACGGTGGAGGGATGGTGGGGAGCTGATGTGTTGATTGTGGTGAGTTGATGTCGTAGGTTCGAGGCCATCGCTTCATCTCGCCGATCTAGATGTTGATCAGTGAGTATGCCAGTGAGAGCTCGGACAGTGTTGTGGCCGAAGATGAGAGTGTTGTGTTCATACTTGAACGCAGCAGGCTCGGAAGGGGGGAAACGAAAGATAAAACCCGGACTTCCGGGGTGACGTCCTTCCCGTGACGCCGATGGCGCGTCACGTCACGACGGAGCGGGACTCACGGAAAAGTATAGGAGTGATCCGAAAAGTACGGTCACGGAAAAATGGAAATAGCGATACACAGAGCAGCATTCCACATCATCATCCCTCCCTTTCGTTGACACTGGCTATGGATAGCATCCGCAGTATCTTGACTGGTACTCGACCCTGCTGAGTCAGGGTGAAGCCAGTGGCAACGAGAGTGCGATAGGGGATTGTCTTCTCCTCGTTAGATGGGTACCAGCGACCAGATGCGTCGACCTTCATGAGGTGGACTTTCAACGTTGCCGCCGTGAGGTTATTGGTGACCACCGTAGCACAATCGTAGAAGTAGGACTGGTCGGATTCCTTAATCTCGTAGAGAACGGTATCCCCAGATTGAAGGTTAGGCCGCGGGATGATGATCAGCTTGTTCTCGTTGATAATAGATCCAACGTGTTCAACTTGGAATGGAAGGCCACGTCTGATAGAAGCATCCAAGTGAAGTGGGCGGAGTTGATGTAGTGGGAGACGATCGTCTGAACCCTTCACAGCGTAATGATTAAGACCAGCGGGGCCGACGATTTCATAGGGACCTGTCACCTCGGTAGAGTACCCTCCTGGACGTTCTACAGGAACGACCCGAAGGACGATGTCACCCGAAGTATAACGACGTTGCTCAGATCCGACACGATATCGATCATTCCTCTTTGCCAGCTCTACTTCTCGGCTCAGCCCCCAGTGTTGTGTTCATACTTGAACGCAGCAGGCTCGGAAGGGGGGAAACGAAAGATAAAACCCGGACTTCCGGGGTGACGTCCTTCCCGTGACGCCGATGGCGCGTCACGTCACGACGGAGCGGGACTCACGGAAAAGTATAGGAGTGATCCGAAAAGTACGGTCACGGAAAAATGGAAATAGCGATACACAGAGCAGCATTCCACATCAAGAGCAATCTCGAGCGACCGCAGACCCGATACACCCAGGATGAATTCTGGGACCAGTTGACTTGCACAGTGAACTCTCAGACGCTTGGTTCCGATCTTGCGCTTGGGGGAGTAGACAGTCAGAATAGCGATCTTATCGATGTTGATCCTCGACCCATTAGCGCAGCCTGGACTCCTATCTTGGGGGGTGGGGTCCTGCCATATTATTTCGATCTTGGGGTCGGCATTAGCGAGCTTCTGGAGATGACTAGTGTTGGCATAGCAGAGACCAGCTCCCGAGTCGGGTATTGCTCGAGGTGGTGTCAGAGAGGGCAAGCGTAGCTCTGATGGGATAGCTTCCGGCCTCGCAGTAGGGGTTCGGTTGGGAAGGAGTAGGCTGTGAATCTGCGGTAGGTGGTGCTTGAGAGATGTGGTAACATGTGTCTGGGATGTAGTCGATATCTATATCGGTGTAGTGGTTGATATAGTTAGCGTTGTGACCGTCTCGGCCTTCTAGTGGTGGCGTATTAGCATCAGGATTGTCGCTGTTGATGAGAGGCTTGACACACATTCCAGCTCTGTGACCCATGGAGTGACATCGTTCGCACTTGATCTTGTTGAAGTCGTACATGCACTGGTCTTTAGAGTGTTTAGAACTACCACAAGGACACCGCTGGGCGTAGTTGATGGGCTTTTCGGCTCGGCACTGTATGGGTCTGTGACCATTGCGATAGCAGCGAGAACAGAAGTCCTTCTTCTTTTGATACCTTTTACTGCGATGTTGTTGTTGTTGTTGTTGACCGACTTGCGGCAGTGGAGACTGGGCAGATGGAGCAGAGACCAGAGTTGGCGAAGTTCGGTGTTCTTGGACTTGCATTGTTGTGGATAAAGAAGCCGTCGATGGTTGAACTTGCACAGATGATGGTCTAGGCTCGTTGATGTTGAAGGCTTGGGCCGCTGAAGGATGAGCAGTCATGGGAGAGGATTTGAACAGTCGAGCTCGGTCCTTCATCTCTCTGAAAGCTGAGAACAGCTGATCGATAGTATAGAGTCGGCCGTGAGGATCGATCTGTTTACAAGCGCTATAAAACCAGTCATTATATGGCTCTCGAAGGCCACGGAGAATTGAAAGGCAGACGTGGCTCACATCGACATCTTTAGCACATGCTCGAATTTCCAGAAGATGCTCTGTCAACGTTTCTAGAAATTCACTAACAGATGCGGTTCCTTGCTGACACTCATAAATGGACTTCAGTCGAACGATAGCATCACTCTCAAACCTATAATATCGTAATAAATGGCTGACTGTATAGTGCCAGAGTAGGTGGTAGTAATAGCGTGAACTTAAATTACATTCAAATTCGATGGCTTGTCGATCGAGAATCTCTTTGCTGAGAGTCTTGCTGAGAGCAAAAGAGATGAACGACCTTACCGCGATTGGGGCTGTGGTAGATTGCCACTGGACTTGGCAGAAGCGCGTCCATCGACGTATAAGAGACGTGGTGGTAGTGCAATCGCTCTCGGTACCAGTGAATGCAGGGTTGTTCTTGGCCCAAAGCTCGCCCATGTTTGTTGATTGGACGGCCATACGGTTGAGCTCGGTGTGGGGGATGTTATCGTCCGCTCTCATATCGGCCGTAGGGTTTACGGGGATCTGGTGCCATTCACCGTTGATAGATAGGACTGTGATGTAGTCGTTAGAGGTCAGCGGTGAGTGGGGTTGCTTGACGGCAAAAGTAGGCCTCGCAAATGAGTAGTCCGGAGGGAACTGGCGAGAGGAGTGTTCTTCTGCTGGACCATTGTAGTGGTTCCGAGGAGGCACGGGTTCATGAGGTTGGGGACGTAGCTCTTCGGTGGGGCCGGCCTGGTCAGAGACATGGCACTGATCGTAGCTCACCGTGTAGTCGAAGAGTTCGTCTTGAGCTAGGAAAGGGGACTGGGTTGCGTGATCTGGTCCTTGTGGAGGAGGGTGTCTTTCCGATAGTGACCTGGATGGCGGCTTGCACGAGGTGGAAGTGGATGGCCAAGTCGGGATAGGGTCACCGGAGGACTTATGTAGCCCATCAGTTTGGGTAGAGTTAGATTGCGGTGTAAGTGGTCGCTGGAATTGGGGATCTGCTTGTCGCCAGCGCCGAGGCTTGGGTTGCAACTCCGATAGAGTATAGGTGTAGGGGTTGTAGTCGGGGTGCTGTGCTAGCCTTGGTGAGCGACGTGAATTGTAGACGATTCTCGGATGATTGTGCTGATCATCGGCCATGATGAATGAGAACACAATTCCACAAGAGTGTGGATGCAAAGTATAATCTTGATTTGTTATTACATGCCATGTTCTACACTGCAACGGTTTCACTCTTGGCGAGCGAGTATATATACGGATCTTTACAGTGAGAAATGGCGAGGACAGACTTCGCAATATACGTCACATATCAGAATCGAATATCGGACACGTCACAGATATATCTTGTAACCTCATAAATCCTTCACACTTTTTCAATAAGTCTGATAATGGGTATACGAAAGAGACAAGTAGACAGGACCAACCACGAAACCCTCATCCGAAAAATAACAACTATAGCAGAGTTGTCAAGCCCCGAAACATCATCATCACAGATGATTTCTCCATCAGGTAGGTTTCTTAGATTAACGTGACTGATTTACCAAGGGAATGAAAAACTTGAACAATGTAAGATAAAAAATGTGGAGGGGGTATACTCAATGATCTGAGTGCGCTTGACTTGGTGAACAACTAGCTGTGAAACACCACGTGTGATGATAGGCCGACATTTAGGCACAACATTTGCAGTCACGGCCGCCACACTGCCTAAAGACGTCCTGGCAGAAATCTGTGATATAATGCAAGTCCTTACAAAACCGGCAACGATGACAAAGCTCACTAACTCCGAGATTGTTTGGCGAGTCTTCAAATTCGGACAAATGATCATCATCAACCATCTTCATGTCAGAGTTGAACTCCGCAGTATCATCCACGTGAGGATCACCGTTGATAACACCCAAGGTCAGCACGACAGCCAGAACGAAGAGTAGTTTCATATGAGCTTGAAAATATTGATAAGCACAGAATGGCTGGAACGCCGCAGAGATACTGGCAATGTCAGTCTGACATTGAAACATGACTCGACTTGTGCGGCGGCATAAGGTGTGCCGCATCGTGCGGCCTACACAGAGTGTGAGCACACAGAAAGACTCAGTGAGTGCTACTCACTTCACTGGTCATTGAGTGACCGTCACTCTCAACGATGATGTCAGGAACCGTCGACTTCTTGGTCAAGATACCCCTGCCAGAGATGAAAGAGAAGCTCCTTCCCTAACTTGGATATTCCAACACCGGAACCGTGACCTGAGATCGTCACATCGTCAGTGTTCAAGAAACGTGTTACCTTATTCAAGTTTCACTCACGGTGAGTGACTCACCTCTGCATGTGTGATGAACGTTTTTAACACGAGTTCCACTATGAACCTTTAACTACGGGGATGACGACTTGAGACGCTGCCCGCGACGGTCCGTCGCCGACGGACCTGATAGCGGTTATGGTAGCTCAGCTCCCGTAGCTGGGAACTAGTGGAACTTCTGCCTGCGTTCTCATGAATGGTCACGCCTACACAGTTCACGTTTGGCTGTGCTAATGCAGGCACACAATCCTTACTCGCATGATGGACAGTTAACGAGGGTCTTCGCCTGCAACCCAGGCCCTGGATATCGAGTATAGATCGAAGCTCACCAATAGTCTCGGTTTATGTGTTGGGCGTTACTAATCGGCTCAAGTAGGACGATGTCGTGCACAAAAGGACGATATCAGATGAGAGAGATGACTCCAATTCACGCGACGGCAATATTGCATTCAAAGAGGAAAACGTGGATATACCAGATAGCTCGAAGTTCTTGGATCAGTATTCGATGCAGATGCAGGATCAGCCTAAAAATTATGAGTCTGGGTATTAAATCATATGTCATACGCGTGATATTGGGTATGAACTAAGATTAGTAACCTCGAATTAGTACCGGTGCCGACAAGGAAGTCTCTGTTACAGTCTACGGTAGAGTCTGACTTCGCCAGAATCGTAGATGCTCAGGCAGGAGTCGTTGAGATCTCGGAAAGATTGTCCGATCCCGAACGAATCTTCACTTTGGTAGACAGGAATTCCAACTTGGAACTTCCAAGGAAGACTTCGTGGGTATTGGTACAACTCGAGTGGATAGAGAGA